GTTTTGGATTAGCGCTCGAGCCACTCCTGGCATTCGGGTTCGCCGGTTTCCATCCCACATTGTTCATAATGCGATAGACTTCGTGAATCAGCTCTTCCCTGCTCAGGAATGCTCCATTCGGGTTGTCCGAAATCTGGGCATCCTGAATTGCAGCAGACAGTTCTTGGATAGCAGCGTCATCTTCGTCCTCGTCGTGCTCGACCTGGGTTGGCTGCTCGACGTCCGCACCTTGTCGTCCTGAGCCACATAAGCTCGGTTCGAGTTCCGCTGTCGCATTCCACCTCGGGCGACGTTGTCCGCTCTGAAGTCACGATTGGGAGGCGATCGGGTAGAATAACTCCCGCTCGCATTCACCTCTTCTTGTTGCTTCAGAACATATTCCAGGTCGGACACCTTGTAGAACCTCTGACTCTGCAATGTGGACTTGAGCGACATGTCCGTCAGGTTCTTGATGAACCGCTTGATATGTTGTTGGCGTCGGCGTTCAGACTTCCTTAATTTCACACCCGTTCGCTCAGCAGCCAGGTTCAGGCGATAGAGGAACGCCAGAGCTGTTTCATCCTTGTACTGCTTCATCGTGTAGTATTTCTCAGGATCAGACACCCGGGACTTGCAATATTCACGCATGAACTCTCGAGCCAGGCGTCCCCAATTCGTACTCACACGTTTCCCTAGCTGACCCATCCTGTTTCGGGCGGCAGGCGACATCTTTGTCTTTAATTCGTATATCTTCATCTGCTCCGTCCAACCAGCCTGGATCGTCATGTTCAAGAATTTCTCCCACCATCGGCGACGTGCCGTCAGGGACTGCTTCTCGTCGAAGTCATCCAGTGCGTTGGTAAACGTCCTGAGAGTGTGCATGTTCCCACCATTGGCGTTAGTTACCATGGTCGTGTAGGATGGCATGCCGTCTGACGAACTGTCGGAGTCACTTGAGCTATCGTCTTCCTCGCTACACTCGCCGCTCGAGCTGGGTCCCGAGAGGTCTTCATCCTGGCGTGGAGGCTTCTTGCGTGGTTCCATCTTGGGCGGCTCCTTGTCTTCCGACCTTGCAGCTCCCGTCGATTTTCCATCCGTCTGTCGTGACTTCACTCGGGAGCCTCTCGTTTTTGCGATCCTGGATCCTTGTTCTTCTTTTATTTGGACATCTCCCTTCTCATACTTTGTTTCAGTCAGATTCGGGAGTGTCAGTTGGAGCTGAGCCGCAAAGGCACTATCGCCAGATGCGTCCTGGCTATGCACCGCGTCATCTTTGATCGCGTTACTTGATCGTGGGTGCACTGTCGAACGGTCACCTTGAACTTCTGTAGATGTTGCACGAGTGTTGCTCGAACTTGTTCCGCGAACGGTCTTCGACCTTCGATTAGCCTTCTGATCCTGATTGCGCGCCTCCTTCAAGGAGGTAATCTCTTCTTGCAGACGTTACATCTGAGCACTCATCACAGATTCCCACTGGTCATTCAGGCTCTTCTGCAGGTTGGCCGCCCAAGACTCTTTTGCCTTCTCGGCCTTCGCTTCGCGTCACTGCCAGCGCTCTTCGAACTGGGTTTCCGCAGCCTTCAGCGCGCGGGTGACTTCGTGACTCGCGGTATCATTCGGCGCAGCCTTGGCATTCCCCGTCGACACATGAGCTGGAGCGGTTGGCGCTTTAACATTTGGGATTGTTGCGTCCTGGAAGACTCCAGGATGAGCTGCTAGCATCTGTATTGCTTGGAAAGCCTGATCGACACGCTGATTAAGCTGGGCCTGAGTGGTATCTTGTTTCGACTCCATTCGGGCCAACATGTCTTGCGTCGATCTCATGGCGTTCACGGCAACTTGAGACGCCCCTGACGTCGCGGAGTAGCGCGACCTTCCTGAGTGGGGTGTCATTTCCGACTTGGTCGACCGGCTTGGCGACCGCCTGGATGACCGTCACGAATGTCTCGAATGCCGGCGCTTCCGAGCGTCGTCGCTGGACTCTGACTCACTTGGAGAATCATCGCTCGAGCTTGACCTTCGTCTGTGAGTGTGCCTCCGAGATGTCCTCCCTGTTGTCACTCCGAATGATGGCCCGCTCCGACTCCGACATAACGACATCGTCAGGGTTGGCTGGCATCGGCGACACCGGGAGGACAGCCTCAGTTACCTGAACACCCAGGCTACCTTCAGGTTGGGTGACACCTCCTTGAGCGGCGAATACCATTCCGGCCGGGAGGGCATGCGCGAACTGCATGTGCTGTGTAGCACCTCCCGTCATGGACCACATTGAGGACGCCGATGATGAACCATTTCCAGATGACCTGGATTCGAGCGTCCCAGAGAGGTTCGACTCGTCTGAATTTGTCGCCGTAGCTCCGAACAGGGTTGACCCATACCCTGACATGGCATTGGAGATTCACTTTGGGTTGCCGACATGTCGCTCGGGGTAGCCATGCTCCTATCATACTGAGTTGACGTTCGGTACGACATCAGCGAACTCATCGATGGAATGGACGACGGTCGTGGAGGTGCGTGTTGTTGGCGATTCTATTCAGATTCTTCAAGTGATGAACTCGCAGGACTGCGATACACTCGGGCTCCAGCTCTCCTGACACACTCACTTCCAAGTAACTCCGCCTCGTAACTCGACATCAATGAATCACCTTCAGCATCTTCCGGTTTCATCTCCTCCGAATGGTCCTTCAGGCTGCGTGCATCCAATGGAGACACAACTCGACATTGCGCTCCCGAAGTGACTTGGTGCCATTCCAGGAGCTCCAAAGTCAAGAGCTGCTCCAACTTCTTAGCCACCCTTCGCATCACATCAACTTTAGCCTTGGGCGCGGGCACTCGAAACCATTCCGGAACCAGGTTGCGAAACTTGAGCCCAACCTCAAAGAACATCGTCTGCAAGACTGCAGCGCACTCTCGCATGGACAGCTCATTCAGGGGCACTGTCACCGACGTGAGGTCATCAGGCGCCAGCCTCACAAGCTTCCATTCGGAGATCCAAGTTTGCGCTCGGGTTCCCGATGACATCCGCGACGCCAAATACTCCGACGTTGCCAGGACGGTTCCGTACCACGCCTGAAAACTGGGTGCGGGGTGAGGCCAAACGTACTCGATCCGCTGAGACATCACAAATTCCAGAGATACTTGTTCCCACCGGCGCACTTGGCCGTTTACATACAGCTTTACCAAATTCGGGATGACCGGGTTCCCAGACGCCTCAGCATCGCCCACTGCAGTCAGATCGACTGTCTCTTGAGCCGAGCTCGGGATCTGCATCCGGGATGTTGACACCTCATTCGGCACTTGCACGCACGAGCTCGAAGATACTGACGTCTC